GTAGTGCTGATGAGCAGGATGAAAGTAACTCTTATTTATAGTTACCTTTGATGCCTCACAATTGTGGGACATCAATATATATATATATATATATATATATATATATATATATATATATATATATATATATATATATATATATATATATATATATATATATATATATAGGCATCAAAGGTAACTGTAAATAGCAGTTACTTTCATCCTGCTCATCAGCACTACACTGATGAGGCCCAAAAGGCCGAAACGGAACCGTCTGCAGTTAGATATCGCTCTATGGCCTTTAGGTTATATTGAGCGCTCTACAGGATGAGCCATGCCGCTTACGTATTGCGCACGCTCACTGCTTGCAGTTTGAGCGCTCTGGCATGGTTTTGATGTCCCACAATCGTGAGGCATCAAAGGTAACTGTAAATAGCAGTTACTTTCATCCTGCTCATCAGCATTACACTGATGAGGCCCATAAGGTCGAAACGGTACCGTCTGTAGTTATATATATATATATATATATATATATATATATATATATATATATATATATATATATAGTATATAGTATATATATATATATAGTATATATATATAGTATATATATATATATATAGTATATATATAGTATATATATATATATATATATATATATATATATATATATATATATATATATATATATATATATATATATATATATATATATATATATATAATATATTACGCGCGGTAAAAATGACCACTTTCGGCTTAAAATGGTTGTTTTCCACGGGCAATGCAAATATAGGCCTACACAAAATTTGCGAACTTCACAGGCCATATTTTCCTCATTACCTCGGGTCGATACGACACCGAGGTCATAAATTCGGCTCCTACCTATTTTTCTAGCCGCGCGCGTAGTCGAAGAGCCTGTCGAGGAGACGACAACTTCCAGTAAATAAGTGCACTTCCGGCAAGCACCAAAGCGAAACGGAACCCGAAGCTGTCCTTGCACAAAATCCGTCAAACTTGTTGATTTAAAACCAGAAGATGTGATAATTTTAACATACATGTTTAGCTGGATAACTATTCTCGAATATATGTTGATATAATGTACTATACTTCGTATGTATAGCATGGGAATACCGCGGCCAACTTTCACTTTTTTGATACTGCTAAGCATTTTATGGATGATTCTTACTGTAACTTGTAGACAACAATTTCTCCAACTATCCACTCATTACATTCTTCGATTGTGGTACAACTATTACTAATGATGGATCAGTTATATGCACCTAATTGTATTTTCGCTCCTTTGATATATTTTAAAAATATCTGAAGTGACTGTCGTTCTGGTATGTTCAATCAACAATTTTATTCAAGTGGGAATCAACCATTGAATATTGTCTGTTAGTGTTACTAAATACAAGATGAAGTAATGAAATAGCTATGTATATCATTCACTCGTCCACAAAATATCCCAAATAATGAATAAATTCAGTTAAATAATTGCGTCAGTAAATTCTCTAAATTGTTCCTTTATTTAACTATTATCAATAAAATGTTAAACGGAGCTTTGATTGACTGATTCACCGTTTATACTAGTGACCTATTAAACTATCGTGATTTATACTAGTGAACTATTAAACTGTCGTGATTTATACTAGTGAACCATTAAACTATCGAACTATGACGATGCCATATCCACCGATCCGAGGTTAACGCCGAGCGGGCGTCTTGTTTTACAACAATTCGCAACCAAACTTTGCAATTTCACTCATTTTAGGATTCCTTTTTCCGGCTCTGGTAATGGATTTCGTTCTTCTAGTCTAGATCAAAATTTTGTCCATAGGTGGAATCATTCATTAGTACTCTCTCGCTTTATGCCAGGCTCTGGGATAAAGTCAATACAAATACAAAACAGAGTAGGGCAATATAAGCGAATTTATGAATATAATTATAGCACGTACGATTGTGCGAAAAAAAACAGATTCATGTACCATGCTTTGCCGCCTCCTTCTTCAGCAGTTCAAATCCAGATCGACCGTAAGATTCATCGGTGTACACAATGGACACATAAGTCCAGTTAAGATAATCCAGAACATCCACTATTGCTTTGACTTGAGACTTATCTGATGGTATTGTTCGAGAGAAATACTTATACTCCGCCTTGTCACTTAATTCATCACTTGTCGCCCAATAGCTAATCACGGGAACCTTCAATACCCCCAAAACCTTCAAAAGAAAAGAAAATCCTATTTTTTAGTAATTTTTATTGTCAGCTATTATCAATTGTTGTTTTGAGACGAGGGATGTTTTTTTGTCAAAGTTACCTGATTTTTAAATTACTTTTCATGCATGTTACCTAAATATTTTTTTTATATTATTAAATAAATTTAGTGTGGTAGATTCAAGCAGCAAATGCTTCTTTCGAAAGAATATATTGGAACAATAGCAAATGGCACTAAAATTAATCTACAAAAGGGTATTGGGAATTTCGATTTAGACCCGCAGAAAGCCCAGGATTCGAAATGCCATTAAAATTTGGCATTCTTAGCAAGCTTTCCTTTCCAACGCCTAGGATGAACAGGGATGACGGTGCCTATTTGCCGGAGGAATGCATGCATCTCATCGGCAGGTGACGTCATGCTTTGGGTATTTAAGAAGCCACGGTTGCGAATTTAGATCACCCCTGATGACGACACTAGACTGGAGTGTCAAAATGTTGGGTTTTGATTACAATTCAACAATGAAACATGATTGATATACTGTACCATGAACGAACAAGTTTTAAAAGTAGGTATGTAAATTGTTAACTAGTTTTTAACCTAACTTTCAGTGTGTTTTTATTTACTCAATACGTCCAGAACTGTATTTAATAATGCTTACAATGTTCAGCAACAGTGTCACGGACTGAAGAAATATTTTATACTGTCTTCAAGGCAATCCTGAACAGTCACTGAAACTTACGTAAGTCTGCCATTAAACTCAGTTCACATATGCATGCAGTGTTTTGTCTGCTGAATCCAATAAAACAACAGTGCAGACGGCTAGTTACAAGCAGTTTTATACGAAAAGTCAAACTCTACTCGAATGTTTTGGAAAGCTTTCACATACATACATGCTAAAAACTCAAAAATATCTGTGTAATACATAGAAATATTCCCTCAAATTTTAGTATGTCATTCCTCTTTCAACCAGATATCCTAAAAAAATTCAGAAAAATTGACCGAAGGAAAAAAAGATATTGTCGTTTGATTGTAAAATTAGAAAATTTCAATGCGCAAAAGATAATACGTAATGGTTGCCATAGCAACACTAACACTGTTCCTATGTGTTTATATATCGATCGACAGTGTAATATATTCAGTATATATGCATGCTAATTAGATTCATGTATATAAGGGTTGTTTTGTAACATAATAAACAGACTAATAACATAACATGGTGTCAGGATGGAGCCGTTTATGAAGCCTCCTTTATAGATGAACTTTTCAACAACTGAACAGTTCTCGTTATCCGAAAGATGGAGACGATGGAAGGAAACTATGCAGTTATATCTTGGATTAAACATGTCTAAAGCCAGCGAGAAAGAACAATGTGCGGCGTTCCGGTATGTGATCGGACAAGACGGGCAAGACATCTATAACACAATGAAGTTTACAGAGGCTCAAACGGACAAAATCGACGTGTTATTCGCGAAGTTTGACGAGTATTGTGAACCCAGAAGAAACACGATTATGGAAAGATACAAGTTTAATACGCGAGTGCAAAGAGACGACGAAACAGCCGATCAGTACGTAACTGAACTTAAATTGCTCGCTAAGAATTGCAACTTAGGGTCTCTTGAGGACGAGTTGATTAGGGACCGCGTTGTTTACGGAATAAAATCGGAGCGTGTGAGA